AGAATAGTTTATACTTGTCAACAAGAAGTGACCCTCTAACCACTTACCTCATCTTCCTCTTTTTCTTCATATGAAAAAGTAAAACAAAACAAAACAGAAAAACCAACAGACCTCTGACTTTGTTCTTACTGGGGCATATTTTATGTTTTCTTTTCCATCTCCTTTATTTTTTTCTTTTTGAGTCACATACAGCAATGCTCAGGGTTTCTCCTGGCTCTGCACTCAGGAATTACTCCTGGCAGTGCTGGGGAGACCATATGGGATGCTGGGGATCGAACCCAGGTCAGCTGCATGCAAGGCAAATGCCCTACCCGCTGTACTATTGCTCCAGCTTCTTTTCTTTTCTTTTTGTGCTACATCCAAGTACTCAGGGCTCACTCCCAGCTCTGTGTTCAGAGGTCACTCAAGGCAGGGTTCAGGGGACCACATGGGATCCTGGGGATTGGACCCAGGTCAGCTGCATGCAAGGCCAGTATTTTTTCTCCAACCCATGTTTTAGGTTTTCTACTCCAACCTGTGCCATCTGGATGGCTAGTTCTTGATCCCAAATAAACTGGTTTTGCTTTCTTTCTTTTCTCCACACCCCCCCCCCTTTTAAAAAGACTTTTGGGCCACACGTGGTGATGCTCAGGGGTTATTTCTGGCTCTGAGCTCAGGAATTACACTTGGCAGTGCTCAATCATATGAGATGCCGGCAATTGAATCTGGGTTGGCCACATCCAAGGCAAGCACCCTATCCTGTGCTAGCTGTCTGGCTCCTGGGTTTGCCCCCTCCCCCCCTTTTTTTTGCAGGGGTGGAGGTGGGTTGCCTTTTAAATGACTTCCTGAATCTTTAGGTCAACAGAAGGAAACTCACCAGAGACAAGACACTCAGCGGTGGAGTGGGCCTAAGACACAGGTCCACCAGGTAGCTATAACCCAGAGGGCTACCACTCCATTGCTACTCACAGTTTTCTCTATTCTATGAGCCATCTGTGCCCTAAATACCTTCTTTTGTAGTGTCCCACTTTAAATCACATCGTTTGGCTTTTCACAAGGGCCCCAGCTGAACAAAGACACCTATGTCAGGGCAAGCAGAGGACTCCTTAAAGCCTGGCAAAGACCAGAGCTCTCTGGGCGAAGTTAGAGTGGTTTTTACTTTTTTTTTTTTTTTGGGTGGGGGGCACAACCAGTGGTGCTGGGGATCACTCCTGGTGGTGCTGGGTGGCCAAATGTGGTGGTGCTGGGGATTAAGGCCGGATCAGCCACCAACAAGGCAAGTGCCTTAACCCTGGTACTGTCACTCCGACCTAAGAGAGTCTTTCCGGCTCAAACCTTACTGTTCCCTAGATACACCACACTTCCGAGCACCTCCTTTTGAAGAACCCTGCACTTGCTGTGTTTCCCCGGGGTGGGCCCCTCTTTCTTCACGATTAGACTCAATGTCTTCTCAGGGAAAAGGCCCCTCCATCTTCTGGGGTGCAGTTGTCCTTGCCAGCCCACCAAGCCTCTCTCTCCTCACTGGGTTTTGGTTTTCCTCCTTAACACACAACCCAGCCCGTACACAAGGAGTTTCTTTCCTTTGTTGGATGCCAGGAAAAATACTTTATCACAAGTGACATCCCTGGCTCCTGCTTCCCCTTCTGTTCCTTGTCCATCTCTCCTGGCTGGGGATGGAAGCCCCCCCCCACCCCCCCAGGGCAGGGACATGTTTATTTTCGGCATGTTTCCATGAGAGCCTATGTGGAAGAAACAATTTCCCTACCAGAATGGATTCATGTGTCCAGAGGTGCCTGGCACAGAGCCTGGCAGAGGTTAATGTCCCTGCACACGCCTGTGAAAGCCTCGGACCATGGCAGGCACCCGGCATTGCCTCACATGTGCTGCCTCCAGCAGCTGCCAGCATGGGTTATGTCTGAGGACGCGGGGCAGGCCACTGATTTTCAAGGTGTAGCCTTGGTGACACTGAAGGTGACTCACTGGTGTCTCCTCAGCCCTGCACAGCTTGAGGCCTGAGCTGGCGGGCACAGGGGTTCACAGAGGGCTGAATCAAGACACCAGCTTCTGCTGGTGAGACTGTTTGGAGAGAGGGTCTTTGAGGAGGAGATTCGGTTCACACGAGCCAATGAGGGGGCGCCTGACCCAAGCTGACTAGGGAACTTACAGGGAAGAGGAAGCCAATCCAGACAGGTGCATGCCCACCCGTGGGAAGAACACGTGAGGCTACAGGGACAAGAGGACCATCTTCAGGCTGGAGAGAGAGGCCTCAGCCACCTTGAACTTGGACTACCAGCTTCCTGAGCTGTGAGATGAGGATGTTCTACTCGTTAATCCTCCTCCCTCGCCCCATCAGGGATGTTCTGTTACAGTACCTGGAGCAGACTTATACAGAGGCCGCTAGCACTCGGAAGCAATTTTACTGAAGGGTCTTTGAGCTTGTCATTCATCATCTATCCTGGAATCCTGCCAAAGACCCTTAGAAGATAGGGCTGGGGCAGGCAGCCTGAGCAGGGGTGACTGGCATACACAACCTTCCCCTCCAGGCCAAGTGAGGGCCAGGGAGGGGGAAGGTGCCCGTGCACAGAAGCCCCCAAGAGCTGAAATCCCACGTTTGGCTCATTCCCTTGATGCTATTCAGGCCCATCAGGAAGTATGCTGCTCTGTTGCCATAGCAACCGCAAGCCATCTTCTGTTCATTCGAAATTAAAAATGTCCCAGCTTCAGGACTGAGAAGGCTGTAAATGCAGAGACGAGATGAAGCTCCTGACGAAAGTGGTTGCCATGGCAGCGTCCTGTCCTTGGCGTGTGCCAGCTGCCATGGATGCCTCAGTGCTTGGTGCCAGTGAAAGAATTGGGAGAGGACAAAGGCCAGCCTCTCACAGTGGAGAAAAGAAAGTCTGTTTTCATTAGAAATAGTGACTAATGAAGCAAATTTCTATTTTTAGAGGAACTACACATGCAACCTGCAGGCGCTCTCAAAACTTAAATGAGTCACCTGGGATCTTATTAAAACTCAGACACTGAAAGTACAGTATGTGTGAGGCAGAGTCTGAAGTTTTACATCTTATTTTTCTGTGGGGGCTTCCAAGGAGGTGCTCAAGAGATTCAGGGACCACTCCCAGTAATATCTGGCCAACCTGGCCAGGGACTAAGTGCTAGGCCCAAGGATGTGATGCTGGGGATCACCAGGGTCAACTTGGTGATACTTGCGGGTTATTCCTGGCAATGTTAGGGGAATCATGCAGTGCTGGCAATCATATCCAGGTCTCTGGCATGGGAAGCACACACTACAGCCCTTTGAGTCATCTCCTTGGACCTAGAATTGGCCATACCTATGGTGTTCGGGGCTCATCCAATTTTGTACTCGGCATCACTCCTCCTGGTGCTCAGGGGCCCAAGTGCAGTGCCAGGGATTGAACTTGGGTCAGCTGCATACAAGGCAAGTACCTTCTTTGCTGTACTCTCTCCAGTCTCTAGACTTTAAACCCTTATTGCCCCAACAACTGGGCTTGTGGATAGGGTTCCTGAGAGCAGGCCTGCCCAAATGAGCAAGCTACACGGGGCACTTCCCAGACTTTCTGCAAGTGCGTAAGAGAAGGGGCAGCACGACCTCAGAGTTGTCAACAGGAAACTGATTTCCTAGTGTGGCTGGGGCCCGTGGGCTAGAGGGAGGCTCAGAACAAAGAAGTGTAAGAACTTTCACACTCCCTGGGCTGTGGTCCGAACTTCTACATTCGGATGTGGAGTCCACTCACCTTTTTTGGTTATTTTTGCAATTACAAATAATGCTGGAAAACATCTTTGTATACGTGGCTGTTCTTGCTTGAATTGCCATCAAGGGAAATAAATTCCAGTAATGGAATTACTGAGTCAAACTCATCTGATTGGTTCCAGTCAGCATCTGGCAGATTCCACAGTCTTCATTTATAGAACTATAAGCAATGCCAAAGGGAACATATTTCCTTACAACTTCACATTTGGCCTTTATAACTTCTCTTTTGTTTAAAAAATGCCAAGCAGGGTTTGAGTGATCAAAGTAGGGTGATCAAAACCAGGTCTCACTACATAGCCCGTTACTGATTTCGAATTTTTTTGGCCACACCCAGCAGTGTTCAGGGTTTATTCTTGGCTCTGTGCTCAGGAATCAGTCCTGGAGGTGCTTGGAGGGCCATATGTGGTACTAGGGATTGAACTGGTGCAAGTTGGCCAGGTGCAAGGAAAGAGCCTTAGGCCCTGTACTAACTCTGGCCCAGTTTAACAAACTGTTTAGTGGCGATTGATGGAGATGCTTGGGGGTCACTGGGGCAACAGTCAGTGGTGCTCCATGGGGAGGGCATATGAAAGGGGGGATGGAATTCAGGGTCTTATACAGGCCAACCCAGGCCCCTTCTTCTCCCCTCTCCCCTCCCCTTTCCTTTTCTCCTTCCCTCCCTTCCTGCCTGCCTGCCACACTCGTCAGTGTTCAGGGGTTACTCTTGGCTCTGCACTCAGGAATTACTCCTGGTGGTACTTGGGGGACCATATGGGATGCCACAGATCAAACGGGGGCCAGTTGCATCCAAGTCAAACACCCTACCCTTTGTAGTATTGGGCCCACATCTTTAATTTGTATTCTGCAAACTGCATTCTATTAATTACTAGAAGCACTGAATGCAGTTGTTATGTCATATAAACAATCTTTGGCTGCCCATAGTTGGGATGAGGCAAGATGTTGGCATTTTTGTGGTTCTGTGTGCGTGTGATTAAACCCAAGTCTCATATCTCTAACACCTGCTCTTATTTTTTCAAAAATTTCAGTCCTCCAGTTAGGTTCTAAAATGGAGTTAAAAGTTTTCTCAAACTACAAATGGTGAGTGAGTGCACTGCTCCTATAATACTTTGAAAAAGCATGGGAAACCAGCTTAGAAACAAAAAGATCTTCATATTTAGCTTCCCATGGAAAAAGCTTGGAAGCCATTCCTCTTGCCCTCACAAGAAAAACACTGAACTGAAAAATCAATGGCATTCTCAGATCCTCTTCAGGGATCAGAACCAGACAGATGAAGTACAGTCTAAAATACATTTTATGTTTTCTTCACAGCTGGGGTTTTCTTAGGCTTCAAACTGAAGTACAAAATCAACAGAGTGATTCCTCCATACGTGGCCAGCACACAATTCATTCTACCTGTCAGAGTGTAAGAGTCGAAGTATTTTTTAATACCAGTGAACTGGAATTGGGCATCAGCTTCTGGACCTGCCGTGACTGCAATCTGCGCAGAAGTTCCAGAGCCCGCAGTTGGTGTCCTTCAACGTCCACCGACACCCCAAGGTCCGGTAACATTCTCTTATTTTTGAATGTGAAGCAGCCTTGATCGCCTAGAGTAAACCCCACCTGGTACACACAATGTATACGATTCTCTTTAAAAATGTTGCTGGAATTGTTTAGTATTTTGTTGAAGTATCTACATCTCCACTCAAAATATTCTGTTCAGCAGTGTTTTATTTTCTTTGCAGGGCCACAGCTGGTGATGCTCAGGGTTACTCCTGGCTTTAAACTCAGGAATCCCTGCTGGATGCGCTCAGGGGAGCACACTGGGTGCCGAGGATTGAACCTGGGTTGGCCACGTGCAAGGCAAATGCGCTACCCACTGTACTACCACTCTGGCCCATCAGCAGTTTTCTTACGTTTTTACCTGGTTTTGATACTATCTACATGGCCGTAGAGAGTAAGTTTGGTGCATTTCTTCTACCTCTATTTTCTGAACGAGATTTTAGAGAATTTGTATTTCTTTCTTAAAACATCTATGCTCCTTGGTATGTAAATGAACCGAAACTTATGTCTACACAATAACCTGCTTCCAAATATTTAAAGTAGCTTCATTAATCATTTTTCAACACTGTAGTTCATTGAGTAGATATCACATTTTTTTAAACTATACACACACAAAAGATGACTATATGAAGTGATGATGTGTTCGTTAACCTGACAGCGGTAATCATTTCACAAAGTATATCTACATACACAGTCTATTTAAACATGTACAATTGTTGCAGCAAGGCTGAGGGGGAGATAAACTATGAACAATGGCAGACTTTACATGCACACTGCTATGTGCAGGAAACCAGACCTAAAGGTTGCATTCTCTTTCCAACCAAATGTCATTCTGGAAAAGGCAAAACTATGGGGTTGGTAAAAAGTGACACAGTTGTCAGAGGAAACAGTGTGTTGAGGGGAGGCAGGTGCATAAAGCACTGTGTTCTCTCTGTTCAATGTACCTGTTAATCTAAAACTGCACCCAAAATTGTGGAGGCAAAAAAATCAGGATCTGAGCAAAAGGGACTGATGGGTCAGATTTGGAGGTGAACAGGGATCAGAAAGGACTTGAAAACTACCCACAATGAGATAAGCTTGCCATGGGTCAAAAGCAACTCAACAAAGTAATACTGCCAGCTTTTCAGACTGTCGGCACAGATGAGAGCCACAAGGAGCAGATGTAGTTGCAAATGTGGTCCAGGTTTGCAGAGTAAAACAGAGAAAGCATGAATGGAAATAAGTAAAATGAGAGATTGATGTGAACAGAGCCATGTCTTGCCCTTCTTAGGCTGCAAAACTGCTTCCCCGCTTCCTACAGGTATGGCATATTCCGTGCAATGTTTTGTTTTAGTGATTCCCGTACAAAATAACAAAAAGCACTAAACCTCTAAGGTCTCTTTCTGTCAATCGCATTGTAGAAATTCCCAGAAACGTGGGCCAGAGAGATAGTACAGTGGTTGCCTTGTATGTGTCCTACCCAGGTTCAATCTTCAGCATCCCATATGGTTCCCCAAGCACTGCCAGGAGTGATTTCTGAGTTAAGAGCCAGGAGTAACCCCTGAGCATTACCACGTGTGACAAAAACAAAAATTCCCCAGGAACGTTACTTGAAGTTGGGATGGACACTTTAAAGCAGTCCTCATTGGCTCAACCTGAGCAGGGCTGCGATGAGAGGGACTTGTGGTTTTGGGCCTTTTCTTTACCCTCTCACAGAGAAGCTCTGAGCAAACTCTCACTCAGGGTTGCGTGTAGAACCCAGAAGGGCATGGCACAACAGACAAGGAGCTCTGTGGGCCTGCCAGGCCTTCCACACAAGGGGTTTCAAACTGTGATCTCATTCTCAAGGCCCGTGGCTGCTGTTGAAGAACAGAAGCTGTGATGGGGTGCCAAGGTCTGGAGTGGAGGAGGTGTCCTTGGAGGGGCCTGACACAACTTCCAGAAATAAAAATGTACAACTTCTTCTTCCAAGGAAAAACAAACCACCAAGGGCAATGGCAAAACACAAATGAAGCCGACAGGGGAAGGACCATGGTGGGAAGCATTTAAGTGCAGGACCAACTCTATCAAATGTTGGGAACCCCTGACAGGCAAGTGCTGTCAACCCAATGTTACCAAGGGCAAAGGTGCTTTTGTTGGATGGTTCTCAGCGACTTAGGAGTAGGGTCAAATTAGGGCTGATTTGATCTGGTTGTTCAGACCAGAACAGAGGATGAGATGAATTTCCAAACACCTGCACCCAAATGGAGCCTGGGCACCAACTATATGGCCAGACAACAGCCACTCAGGACAGCAGATGGTGCATATTTGGGTGTCTTCCTCCTGAAATTCCTCTTGCCCAGGGAAACTTGCGGTCTCTGATCTCACAGGGTGTGTCTTGCCTGATCCAACCTCGAGTCAAGATGGAAGGTCACACAGAAGTGCCAGCTTGTGTCTGCCGCTGGTCAATGTGGGAGATGTGAGGAACCAAGGGGGGTGGGGGTGGGAGAAGAGTACCTGCTTCGTGTGCTCCATGTCCCTCTAGGAAAAGCAGTCAGTCCACCTCACAGAATCTGGAAGCCAGAAGGCAAGCCGTTTCACGAGTCCTCACACAATCCTCCAAGTGTCTTTTTTAGGACCTCATTTCTCTTTGGAGAGAAGCTGGACAGAACTGAACAATGTCCACCTTTCCCCCTCAGCCCTGCATCTGGTCACCAATCCTGGGAGGAATTCCAGAACTGAAAGCACCTGCATGGGCTATTTGCTCACGGTTTCCAGCCTTTATTTCTGAGAAAAGACAGGTGGTAAGGCATTCTGTTTTCTTTTCTTCCAAAATTCTTTTGTCTTTCTGATTTTCATGAAGTCACTTTGTCTTCTCTTTACATTTCAGCCAGCAGCAGTTCTGAAAGACTTATTTTGCTTTTGGCCCCCCTGGATAGATGTCCACAGGTGCAAGCCCCTCACCCCAGCTGCTAGGAAATGAAGGCCTTCAATGGACGGCACTTTTTCTTGCAACCTGCTTTGGTGAGAATTTCCTTCTCAACCAAGACAGAGACAATGCAGCTGGCTTTGCAGATTCAAGGATTAGTCAACCTGGCAGTGAGAATGTCTGTTACCAACACTTTAGTTTCCAGCCCCCTTCTCATTTCTACATTTCTCTTAAGCATTCAGTACATTCCTAACTCACTTTTTGTATTTATTTAATGCCTGTCTTTCCTGCCAGGTAATGACTGCCCGAAGGGCAGCTGTTTGTCTACTGTTAACACTCTTAGTGTACAGTGGGTGCCTGGCGTCACTGGAGACTAGCATCAAGAATGCTCCCTGTTGTTTGGGGCCAAAATTATAGTACAGTGGGTGGGGCGTTTTCCTTGCATATGGCTGACCCAGGTTCGATTCTCAGGATTCCCCCAAGCACCACCTGGAGTAATTCCTAAGTGCAAAGCCAGGAATAACTCTTGAGCATCACTGGGTGTGACCCCCAAAAAACAGGAAAAAGAAAGGATTGCTCCCTGTTGCCTTAGTTTATCCTTTTTGGTGGGAGACAAGGGGAATACCAGGAAGATATCTGAAGTTGCCGTCAAACCTTTGAGCTATCTTCCCAGCCCCAAGTTCATCTTTCTTTTCTAATCAAATGCTACTGAATCTTGACAATGAATAGTTGTCTCATTTTATTTAAAATTTTTTTTTTCTTGCAGTGTCAGAGATCAAACTGAAGTTTCATGCATGCAAGGCATGTACTTTATTACTGAACCACATCCCTGGGCCTTATTATTATTTTTTGAGGGTGGAAGTACCACACTTTGTGGTGTTCAGGAGAGATCCCTGGCTGTGCTTGGGGAACCATATGTGGTAGTGGAGATTAGGACAGGGGGTGGCAGGATGCAAGGCATTTTAACCCCTATATTCAATCTCTCTGGCCCTCCCAACCTTCAACAAATGGTGCTCAGGGCTTACTTTTGGCTTTTTAATTAAGCTATCAAAAATTACTATAGTTTATGTATATATTTGGGCACCTGGCAGTGTTCAGAGGCTATTCCTGTCTCTGTGTCTGGGGACCCTATGTAGGAGAAGGCATTTGAGTCAGAGGAACAAATAGAGTAAGTTGTAAGCAAGGAAAAAGCTTTACTTCCTGTATGCTCTCTGGCTGCAATAGTATTGTTTTATGCAAGGTTCATTTTTTGGGGGGGGGGAGGTACACCCAGCAATGCTCAGAGGTTACTCCTGACTTTGCACTCAGGGAGCACTCCTGGTGGTGCTGGAAGACCACATGGGATGCTAAGGTAGATCCTGGGTGGACTGTATGTAAGGTGAGCCCCTTACCAGCTGTACTATCTCACTAGCCCCAAGGTTTCATCTTTCTTTAACATCTGCCACTGCCACTCCTTATCTGTACTTCTTCAGTGGCCTTAATTCTCTCTGCAGTTTAGAACCAGACCTACTTGTAATGCCCTCCTGATGGTGACTGCCATGCTGGGGGCCCTCCCAGACCACAAAGTGATCTGTGGTGTTATTGTGTCAATTGCTGTCTCTGTGACATCATTCCCAGTCTTCTGTTTTCCTCTCTAGGGCATAAATGTATTATTCTGTGGGAGTGAGAGAGGTGACCCACCCTTGTTTATCTACAGGTGAACTGTGACCAATTCAATTTTTGGGAGTTTATTTTATCGGCTACACCTCTTAGTGCTGAGGACCACCTGGATCTGGGTTGGTTGCATGCAAGGCAAGTATCCTACCTGCCTTACTATCATTGTGGAAATCACCGATAAAACATATTTGAGGGCTGGAGAGGTAGTGTAAGGATTTTAAAATGCTTTCCTTGCATGTGGCCTACCCCGGGTTTGATCCCTGACACATTTGACTCCTTAAGAACCACCAGGAGTATCCCTGAGCACAGAGCTAGGAGTATAGCGTGAGCCCTGCCAGGTGTGTCCAAAAGACAAAGAAATACATTCAGTTGTCAGTTTGTTGAACTAATCTGAAATAAGATTACTAAATCAGTAGAGTTACAGAAGAGGAAACCCTTATGACTGGTGACTTGCAACTGCAAATGGACAAGGACTTGTCCATGTGTGCTATTGCCACCACCCTCAGGTCATTTTAATACTACCCAAAGGTGTCAAGGCTGAGCATTGACCTCACTGTAGTCTTTTCCTGTTCATTTGTATCTCCCACAAAATACACTTGTGGCTCATATTTACATGTATAGAAACAAAGCAAGGACGGAGTGATAGTACAGTGGGTAGGGCATTTGCTTTGAACATAGTGGATCTGGGTTCAATCCCAGCATCTCAGATGGTCCCTGAGTATTGCCAGGAGTAATTTCTGAGTGCAGAGCCAGGAGTAAACCCTGAACATCACTAGGCGTGGCCCAAAAACAAAACAACAATGAAAAAGAAACACAACAAGGGAATTAACAATGCCTAATGACTGTCTTAGACTCAGCTGCTCAAAGAATTGAGAAAATGGCATTGAAGAGTGGGCTGAAAGAATCTAATATACTGCGGTAGATCTATAATGGGGCACTTTGGTGGTGAAGATTTGGTATGGTCACACAGTATAGGACCAAAGCATATAAACATTTAAGCCAATGTTATGTTTAAAAAAAGCACTGTTGCAAGGTTAGAAAGTACAGTGGGTAGGACACCTGCCTTCATGAAGCTGACCCAGGTTAAATCCCCAGCACCCCATATGGTGCCCAGAGTACTCTCAGAAGTGACCTTCAAGGACAGAACCAGGAGTAAACTCTGAGCCCTGCTGGGTATGGCCCTCAACCAAAACTGAAGGGGAAAAAAGAGCACCCTGACAAATGCATGTGGGCAAAACCCAATCCACTGAGGGCTAAAAACCCAATCAATCCAGTCACCCATTTAGCAGTAGCTGATGACTACATGCGGCCATCTTTTTGTCATCTCACTGCTTCTTCACCCTTGAGCCTTTACTTTGTACTTCACAGGTCACTTACAGACTTATTGGTAACACCTCAATTCAGCTGTCCTAGTTGGGGAATTCTCCTTTCTGTGGTGCTGGGATCGGAACCCGGGTGTGCACACAAGTGAGGCCTATGCTCTATTTCTGAATTCCATCCTGGGTGCAGGGAATAACCTCCCTTAAATTCCTCATTCTCAGCAGAGTCTTTGCTCCATCCCTATGAAGTCTCTTTAGCTCCTCACTTAACCCAAAGGAGGCAAAATCTGACTTTCACGGTTCCTCTGTAAACCAGTCCAGTGAAGATACTGGTCAACATCTTTCAATCAGAGAGAACCAGAACAGCTACACTGCTACGAAAGCAAAGCAAGTCTCACAATTGAAGTAGAGAAGAATTGTTCCTCGGAACATGCGATAATTAAAGTA